AAATCCCACAAATAGATTTTCCCAAAATGTATCTGTTTATGAGTAATATTCCGTCCACACATGGGTGGGCCACCCTGTAGAACAAACAAAGTGTAAACGCTCTTGCAGCCACTATAGAACAATTTGCGACAGTGCAAGATTCAATTTTTGTCAACTATACAACCCATTCTGTAACATGATTCTACTTTATTGCAACCAGACTATTTCTTATGTGTATAAGCGACGTGAAGAATATCCAGGGTGGTCTCAAAGTCGAGTCATTGATTTTAACTGCTCGTAGGACTCGTCAAAAGGAGTTGATATACCAAAAATCACCTATATAAAAGTTGCATAATAAAAGAAATAGTAAAGGATTAAAATTTTAAAAAAAAATAAGAATGTTATTACACAGATTTGTTGATATTCTCCACCACTGTTGTGTAAAATCTTAGCGTTTTTTGTTTACTCCTCTTATCGTTTATCTAAATTTGGCAAACTTTTTGTGTTATTGTATGGCTTTCAGTACGAGTCTTTGGTTCGATCAGTTGTCAGTCTGATTATTTTGTGCGAAAAAATGGATCATGTTTACGAAAACAAAGAACTAGTGGACGTAATAATAACATACGGAGAGAAAGGTGTCCTTTAAGAAATCATCCGGCCCCACGGATGTTTGTAAATTTAGTTATTAAACTTCGCAACACAGGATATTTAAAAGAACGACGAGGAGGTCACGTTGGAAGATCTGCTTAACCTGTAGTGTTACAAATTGAGGAAGACATTCAAGAAATGGTCGAAAATGACCCAAGAATAGGGCGCCATGGACTCATTTCTTGGCCTGCTCACTCCCCGAATTTAACGCGTTGAGAATTTTTTCTGTGGGGCTATTTAAAAGAGTTGGTAAATCATGATGGAGCAGTAAATACTCTAGAAGGACTTCCACAGCGCACTGAAAATGCTTGTGATTTAATTCGTGTACACCAGGATTTCATTTTCGAAGCTTGTAAAGAGTCGTGGATTCGCCGAGAAAGATTTAGCGTTATTCGAACAAATGGGGACAATTTTGAACAGTTTTTGTAAAAAAGGTAATCATTTGACTTGATAATGATTTTTGTATATCATCTTCTTTTGACGAGTTCTACTGTCAAAATAAAGAACTCAACTTTGAAAACACTCCGTATAACTAACATATTACATTTAAATCTCTGAAATGAAATACGGACAGAGTCGAATGCTTTACCCAGAGTTTGTTCCAGTAGTCATATTAGCAAATTTCCCCGAAATAATTGTAAAGTCTGGTTTTATTGGTGCAAGTCGTTCAAGCGAGTATTTAAAACATGACACATAAAATGGGCACACCAATTTTTGTAGAAAAACTTTTTATTTAACAACAAACAATGAGAAAACGTGTTTTTGAGGATTCAATCGATAGTGTTGACAGGCACGAAAACACTTTTTATAAAAGATTTGTAGGTATTTATGAGCCCACACGTAAAAAGATCCGACTAATAATGAGACGATGATTTCACCCAACTACTTGAAATTCTTTAAGTCCGTAGGATTTATACTTCTAATTAACAACAACAAAAAATTGGAGTTTATTGGTCATGTAGTTTTTTGAGAATTTCTAATTATTTATCCCAAAACACCTGTTTTCCGGCCAACACTACTAGTTTATTGTGCAATATACAGGGTTCGTTCAAAGAACATTTAATAGGAAAATACACGTGTTTACCTTGCCGATATGAATCACAATCGATTCCGAAAGATAAGTGTTATTTTTATGCGAAAAACGAAGGTTACGTTTTTTCTTCTAAACAAATTCAAACATTTCGTATTCGATGTTCGAAAAACTTACATTACTATACACATTTTAAAACGGATGAATTCTATATTCTTTTGTTGCGAATTACAAATACGAAATGTTTGAATTTGTTGAATAAACTAGTAGTGATGGCCGGAAAAGAGATGTTTTGGGATAAACAATTATAAATTCTCAAAAATTACTTGACCAATCTACTCCAAATTTGTTGTGGTTATTATGAAGTACGAATGCTACGAATTTGAAGAATTTCAAGCATCTGCGAGAAGCCATCGTCGCATTACCAACAAGTACTATATCCTGCAGTTTGCCTCGGTTTTGGGCCATAACTTTTTTGCTATTTGGTATTGAAGTTAGAAATGAACCTTTCGTCATATCTAAGGTTTTATTAATCAGCAAAATGCCTATCTTAGGTTTTACGATATGTTCTAATGAGCCGTATTCATAAAAGAGAAGCATATCCTCGGAAGCTTAAGGTAAAAATATAAGGTCTTGCTTCGGAGAAAAAGGTAGAAGTATAAGCATATCCTTGTTTTCATATTCATAATGATTACCTTATACTCGCGAGCATATCCTCCAAGAAGAAGTAAATGGTTGACTGATATTTGTATCTTGAGCGACATGTCCTGACTTGTTCTAGCTTGTAGTTGACGTGGGAGTTCGTTCACTCAGCATTACTGACAGTTGTACTCCAGAGCTTATACAGACCGTTCCGTATTTTACTTGTTACAGTTTTTTAACAAATTAATAAGCATTTCATCCTCAAGTGATGAGGAAACTATAGAAAATAATGACAACGAGCTGCAGTTCAAAAGTCACAAGTTCCAAAACTAAAAATGTGAAAGGACGATGCCTTGAAGAGGATGTTGAAAAAATACGGATCAACATTCGGTAAACCATTAGATACTAAAGAGTTATTAAAAAAAAATCAACAACATGAAATCAAGATTGAAGAAAAAAACAGATCTAAAAAAACTGGTAATAAAGCAATTAAATTGTTAGATTGGGAAAGAAAGTTGCTGAAAGCGATGGAAGGTGACTGTAATCCTACAATTGGGAAAATTAGTGGTGCCATTCAGGTTGGTAGTGTTCAAGAAGAAGGAAGTGAACTATACTAAGTGACATATAAATCCGAACACCCAGTTTAAATGGTTTTATTTTAATAAAAGTTGGTGAATGTATTTATCTTACTGTAAGTGAAAAAATTTTCAGCCTTATCAGTTGGACATTCCGGTTTTTATACTGCTTTTTTTAATTCACTAACGCTCTAAAAATGAATATTTCAGCCGCAGTAAAGAATCAACGTTGGCGGATTTTGGTTCTTGACATCCTTTACGATCGGTTACGATGCCTAGAGTACGGAGACCTGTACGATTTCGTCAACTTAGTGAGTTTGATAGGGGCCGTATAGTGGGACTTCGGGAAGCTGGACTTTCTTTTCGGGCAATTGCAGTTAGACTGCAAAGAAGTGTAGACACTGTGGTTAGGTGTTGTCAGGCATGGCTTCGAGAAGGCCGTACGCAAAGAGCAAGGGGCACTGGACGCCGCCGTAGAACAACAGACCGTGAAGATCGCCGCCTAAGATTATTGGCCTTAAGGGACCGTTTCTCCACTACCAGGTCCATTGCAAATGAACGGTTTGCAGAACACGGAAGACCTATTGGCATGCGAATGAGAAGTTTTGGCTTGTTTTCATACCGGCCACACTGGGTCCTCCCTTTAACTCGAGAACACCGACGTAATCGCCTTGAGTGGTGCAGACAACGGTCACTCTGGGATCAGGAATGGAACAGTATTGTCTTTAGTGACGAGTCTCGATTTTGTTTAGGCATGCACGGTGGTCATGCTAGGGTTAGAAGGCGACGTGGTGAAAGGAGGAATCCACAGTTTTTTGTTGAAAGACATGTTCATCACACTGTTGGAGTTATGGTTTGGGGTGCTATAGCTTATGGTTCCAGGTCACCTTTAATCTTCATCAGAGGTAACATGAACGCACAGCGTTATATCCACGAAGTTCTAGAACCCCATCTTTTACCCTATCTTGACACCCTGGCAGATCCAACTTTCCAACAAGATAATGCCCGACCACATATTGTAAGAGTCACAATAGACTTCTTTCAACATAATGATGTCACATTGTTACCATGGCCACCAAGATCTTCCGACTTATCCCCAATTGAGCACGTGTGGGATATGATGGGTAGGAGATTGCTCAATTTGCAACGTCCTCCTCAGACTCTAGAAGCACTTCGAGAGGAGTTGGTGGTTGCCTGGAATGAGATACCACAGGAGGACATTGACCACCTGATCAGAAGCATGCCTAGGCGCGTTGGAGAATGCGTAGCACATCAGGGCGCATCCACACATTATTAAAGGTCAAAGGGCTTTAAAGCAGTGCAATCATTTTGAAATTTTTATCATTTACTTATTATGCTTCATTAAGTACTTATACAAAATTTTATTAAAATAAAACCATTTAAACTGGGTGTTCGGATTTATATGTCACTTAGTATATATACCGAGCGCAGTGAGCAGACAGTTAGCATTACAGTGCCAGTAATTCAGAAGACATTGCCACCAAAAAGAAAATTAGCAGCAGAGAAATACGAAACTGAGGAAACCAAAGGGTTAACTACAAAAGAACTGTAACGTCTAGTGCTACTACAGCAATACCAAACAAGTATTTTACAACAAGAATATTATGAAACGAAATTAGAAATGATGCAGCGTCAGAAGCCACCTGTAACTTATGATATTCACGAAAATAAAACTTATTATAACTTATAAATACACATTAATCAGTAAAAATATTTATTATAATACTCAAGTTTCTTCTTATTTGTTGACCTAGTTGGTGGAGAGGAAGTTCGTCATTCTCATGATTTCCTTCATCTTCATCTGGGTCTTGTTCAACTAACTCAAAGTCAGGATCGCCCAAGCTCTTTGCAACATTATGGAGTACAATACAAGGAATAATTATTTTCGGCACATTTTCCAACTTTACGCGGTAAACATACTGTAGGATAGGAAACCGGCAATTCAGTTGGCCGAAACAGCGTTCACTTATAACTCTTTCTTGTTTTAAAAGCTTATTATAATTTATTTCTGCACCCGGAGTAGGATTTCTGAAGGGAGTCATAAGGGATGGCCCAATACCATAAACGCCATCGCCAAGTAGTACAACATTTGCTTTATTTATTAGTTATGATCTAGTCTGTGAATTTCTCCATATTCTGGAATCATGCACTGATCCAGGCCAACTGACATCAACACTTGTGAACATCTCTGTGGCATCACAAGTGGCTTGCACATTTACAGTAGGTTTCCCTTTTCGGTTGATATACTCATCTCCATGGCGATTTGGTTTCAGAATTCCTATATGTGTATAATCAATTATACGAATTGCTGTCAGAAATTGATACATGCTTTGCCATATCCGCTTGGCCTCCATCAGTTCATGGATGGTAGATGGAAACTTGATCCATTCGTTCGCCTGTGCAACTATGCTGTTCGCGACTCTATGTATAGTCCGAGATACCGTCGCTTGACTAACACCAAGTTCCTGACCAATACCTTGTTGGTAGAGATAGCGTAGACATATCTTCATTTTATGAATACATGAAAGTGATCCTCCTCGAGTTTCCTCATTCTCAACTAAGAATTTGTCCGCAAGCCATTGAAATTTGCTTCGTCGAACCGATATAATTTTTGAAGTCACGACCGAGTGAAGGTAAACGAGGTTTGTATGCTTTAACATCCCTAACATCCACAATTTCCGCCATCATCGTTTGACCACCTTTCGTTACGAAGTTGAGTCTGCTACTGACCACACACAGAATTTTTGAAGGATATGATTCCTATGTCAAGTACAAGGTGAAGATTATGAATATCCTTTTACTTAACGTATGTCACTGCTTTAAAGGATACGCTTATACTCAAAAAGCAAAAGCATTTAGGATTTCCTTCAAAATTTGCAAGTACAAGGATATCCTTTGTTTTATGAATACGGCTCAATATGAGCCTTAACAGGAAATTTATTACACATGGCCTATAACATGAGAATAAGGTGATTTTCTAACCTCAATAGCTCAACGCAGAACACACAATATTTTTTTAATCGAGACCAGAAAAATAAAGAACCAAAAAAGCTTTGTTCAAAAGAATATAGAACAAACAAAACAAAATTAACGGTAACTGCTTAAAAATGTTTACATACAACGGCTGTGAAATTCATCTTTTTTCCCTGAACAGCACATTTTCAATTGGGTATAACTACGGACTGCCATTGTTTTTGCTCGATTGCGATCCCCCATGGGATTGTACCAGGGTTGCCAGACCTATTTCTATAAGTCCCCCAGCCTAAATAACAAATTCCCCCAAAAAGCACATCTTTAAAAAAAATCTCTCAAAACTTTCAAAGATATTTATTATTATTATTATACTTTGCAGGTTGGCTAAGATTGTCTTATGAGTATGGTATTTATGGTACTAACACTAATAACTAATAACAAGTAACATAAATATATATCTTTTTACTATCATAATATACGAGTAGTATGCTACAGCTCCGAGAATGCATTTAAAACTTCTTCCTCCTCCTTTTTGCAATCATACATTCTTTCAGAATTGAAATATTGCAACATATTTTCAGTCGGTTGAAAATCTGTACAACCATTTTTTAAATTGCACAGATACCATCGAACTCTCATGATAGCATCTGTACTATGAATCGCCAAGCGATTTCTAAGTTTGTTTTTTACCACATTTATAATGGAAAAAGCTCTCTCAACTGAAGCATTAGAAAATGGAAGGCTAAGTAACGCAAGAGCTAATGATGAAATATTTTTATATCTAGGTTCCCCTGCTGCATCGACGTTATTTGCCACCTCAACCCAAAACTTTTCTGTATCATGCAGGTTTATCCAATTTATTCGAGGAAGTGATTTCCATTCTGCAATTGTACTATCAAGGTCAGGACATATTGTTGAGAAAGATAAAGCAATATTAGTTATTTCAGGTTGACGTATCTTGGATGTAGCTAATTCGGGGTTAAATGAATTTATTTTCTCCAAAATATTCATACTTTCAGGGATTCTCATTTGAATTTGTCGACATAATTCCACTAAAAAATCTTTACATCTAGTTCGCACCATTAGTAGTTCATCTTGTTTAATTGCTAAGGATGACGCTTTTGAATTGAACGAATATCCTAAATTTATCAATTCTATATCCATAATGTAATCTTCAAATTTGAAATCAACGACGTTATTTTTTGAAATTTTTTGAAGTCTCATAGGTGGTACTAAAATACTTAGGTTATTGAAAAGTAATAAATTCAAATCTTCCATTAATTTCAGTGGATCTGCACACTCTGACTGAAACAGTTTATTAACTCTAATTATTTCTTTCAATGTCCAACTCAAAAAGGTGAAATATAATACATTAGTTTGGTCCGATAACATTTGAAACAGCTGTTCAGCCATATAACACCTTTCATTATCTTTTACTATACCAAAGTGTATTTTTAATGCATCCCATTGTTCTAGAATTTTAACTATCGCATTGTATCTGGCTAGCCATCTGGTTCCTGATAGTTGGTCAATTTTTAGTGGTTTTTGATCCGTCAGTGTTTCAAATATTTGTTTGTATGCTATTTGCCTTTTTGTACTACAAGAGAACCAATTGTGGCATTCCTTGATTATAAAGTCCAAATGACGAGGTAGAAGTTTAAATGCATACTCTGCTGCCAAATGCAGAGAATGACAGACGCACTTAATAATAACAAGTTCATTATTCTTTGCTTTCAAAAAAGAAGCTACTGAATTATGCGCTCCAACCATAACATTGGCTCCATCAACACCGATTCCTATTAGATTCCCTAATTTTAAACCGTCTAGCTCCAGTTGTTTTGTCACCGCAGCCGAGATAGTTATGGCATCTCCCTTTTCAATTTCGATAAGTTTGTAGAAAGTCGTAACAATCTTAGTTTGCTTTTTACTAAAATATTTTATCATAACGCATAGCATTTTTGTGGAATCGACTGCAGTGCTCTCATCTATAATCAATGAATATTTACTATCTGCAACATCCAAAAGTAAGTCATTTAGTATTGAAGGAGCCAACACATTCAATATTAAAGATGTACATTTAGTTCTGTGTAATTTAACGTCATTTAATATTTCAGATGATTTATCTAAATTTTTTAAAAGTGATCCAAGATGATCAATTGTTGCAAGTGAGCAGTGCTCACATATGAATGCAGCAATTTTTAATTCTGCTATTTTCCTGCTGGCGGTCAAACCTTTTTTCATAAACTCAGTAATTTTTTTACTCGGGCCAGCCAAAGATCTTTTCTCCGCCTCTTGATGTTTCTTACTTTTACCGTGAAGCAGTAAGTCTTTTTTATGTGCAGCTAAAGTACATTTACATATCTTACAAAGCGACTTTGTCTCATCTGCTAATACAGGACCAATCCATCCTATATGGAATGAATAATTATAATTAATAACCCACACCATCAAAATTTCAATAGATTACCTTTAAGTTCAGCATCGGATTCCCAAGCAACTCGGTATTTTCGGGTATATAACGACTCCTTTTCTTTAGGCATATTTAGATTGACACGTACAACACTAATTTGGATAAACCATGCGTATTGAACACTCCAAAGTAAAAGAAATATAGCCTATAAAGTTAATGATAGGAAAGGAAATAGTTACACGATTCTCTGGGTTTCACATAGATGAGAAACACTTATTTAATCGCGCCATCTAACGCACAAAAACAAAATAATATTTTGCCGCTATTGAAGGAAACTGTAATGTAGGTGCTTCAGAATAATTTTAATAGTTGTTGAAAGATGGCAGGATTATCTGTAAATGAATTTATATTTATTCAAAGTTGTTCTCGAATTCCAATAATTCAATTGAAACTTGAAAATTGGTCGGACGACAGAATGTCTTCTTAAAATCGCACCCCAAAAAAACCCCAAAACGGAATAATTTTCCCCCAAAAAATCCCCCACGCATTGTATACCACCAAAAATTCCCCCAAGCAATGAAAAATACCCCAAATTTGGGGGAAAATCCCCCAATCTGGTAACCCTGGATTGTACTGCGTTAAGACTACATGTTGCCGGTTCTAACTGCAAAACATCAAATTTGTGACATCCATCTTTTTCCCCTGTACCCATCAGTTACTAAACGACAGTAGTTGTACAAGCGTTTCTTATAGCACCACTTTGCAAGTTGGGAATAAACGTGTAAACAACAAACCCGCCTTAGAAGGCTTTATGTTCCTTATCAAAATTATTCCCTTTTTAGAACTGCGTAATGCCTTCGTACTAATAGAACAAACGAACACTGCAATACGTTAGTTAGCGCGCGCGTAAATTTTCACAGTTCCAACGCAATTCGGCACGGGTTGCCTTGGTTCTAGATACATAAAACTTGTGTTGACATTGCTTAAGCAAAATTAGAATAAGGGTATGCGTTAGAAAAAAAAAATTTTGGGACACCCAATAGAGTTAAACTATTATTAGGAAAAGCAGTCAAGAAACTAGGATATCACATTACCGTGTCAATACCCAGAAGCTGCAACGTTACCCTTGATCCAGAGGAAACCGACCAACATGACTACTTTAGCACATGAGAGGAAGTTGAGCGGTCATACAGACCTGGATTGTTACATCAGCCAAAAGCCGTGGTGTCGACATCAAAAACGGTCGCATTTCTCCTGACAGAGGAAACCGAGCAGCAATCAATACAACCACCCCCTGAACCTGGCAATCCGGCTCTAAAATTCCCATAACAACTCCCAGAAACTGGAAGTGTCACACCTGTTTGAGTCATTCAATTACCCTATCCTTCTCAACAATTATGGAGATCGTAAGCTATTAGAAATATAGGTATACAGGGTGTAAACGTTATGATAGTCATTATTTAAATGGGTGATAGAGGGGATTAACAGGAGCAAAAAGTTTTTTATAACATGGGGGTCAAAACGACATTTTTTTAGAGAAAAGTGACTTTAAAGTAAAATAAAATTTGTTATTTTTGGCTCTTAGGTATTATTTCACTATTTGATAATGTACTCGTGAAATGCAAACAATTAAAAAAACGGACTTGCAACTAACTGTTTCAGCGCTTCACCTGGTGTGTGAAAGTTTATTGAACGTATTAACAAAATCCACTTATAAAAAGGGAATACAATTTAGATACATACATTGTTTTTCTTTTTAAAACCCACACTGCACTTTTTTGTATTTAAAGAAGGTGTTCAAAATGTTGTCCTCCAGTTTCCACACAAGCTTCATTACAACGAATCCAGTTTCTTCTTACTCTAGGTCCTCGAAGTTGTCCTTTTATTATTTCAGTCGCATTAAATTTTTTTTCGCGAAGTTGTACTTCAGTTGTGATTGGACCAGCCCCATAAACCATCCCTTTAAGTTCGCCCCAATATCATAAATCCAGCGGACTGAGGTCAGGTGATCTTGCTGGCCATTTCGACCGATCCAGCGATTTGAATAATGTTTATTCAAATACTGAATGACGCCTCTAAAAATGTGTGATGGTGCCCGGTCATGAAGAAACCACAAAATCTGTCTCC